GGTTATTAACCGGGTAGCCTCATTACAAATTAACCGGTTAATTAACCGATTAATTAACCGACTATTAACCGGTTAGACGCTCTAATTAACCGGTTATTAACCGGTTAAGCTTTTTTTTGACAGTTCCAATCCCTATTAATAGTTTGGAGAACTGTTGTCTTAGAAAAGCTGAGTGTTTTAGTAATAAATACTTTTGTGGTTCCACCCTTAAATAGGCTAATAATTTAATTGCGTTTAGTCTCAGATAAATTGGACATAGTGTTAAGTAGTACAAAATCCTATTTTATCGATCTCAGTTGAGATTTGTTTATAAATAAAGTAATAATTATATCATTATTTATATAAGTTAACATATGTTAAATTTTTAGCCCAAATTATTATGTATAAGCTAAAGCTCTAAATGGTCTGGATTGATTCAGTTGGGAAGTAACCTAAAACTGGACTGAAAAATTAGTTTATTTCAGTTTGGTCTGGTTTATATTAAAAGGAGAATCTAGGACCAGATTGGACCAGACATGTTATTTTAGTCTGGTTCAGTCCGGTCCTATAATAAAAAATAATGCGAAAATGTTTTTTTAATTATAATTACTTAGAAAAAATATTTCACAACATTTTTTCGTTAAGTTAATTAAAAAATGTATGCGAAAATGTTTTTTTAATTAAATATACTTAGAAAAAATGTTTTACAACATTTTTTCTTTAAATTAATTAAAAAATGTTGCGCAAACATTTTTTTAATTAAATATATTTAGAAAAAACGTTTCACAACATTTTTTCTTAAAATTAATTAAAAAAATGTTGTGCAAACATTTTTTTTATAATAATATGTTAAAAAAAATGATATGCAACATTTTTTTATTTAATAATTAAATAATTGCAATGGTTTTAATATAAACCATTGCGAAAATATTTATCAGTCCAGTCTGGTCCAACCCATTTAATTCAGTCTGGGTTAGATTTATAATCTGAAACTGGACTGGACCGGACTGAATATTTTGATCTGAGTTGAAGTATCAACTTAGACTGGACCAATCCAAATTTTTGGTCTGGATTGAAGTATCAACCCAGACTGGACCAATCCGAATTTTTGGTCTGGGTTGTTGGATTAGAACTGATCCAATTAGAGCTTTAGTACAAGCAGAAGTCATGGAGGAAGGAAGCCCTACAAAACCCCAAATAATACTAATATAACTAACTTACAAGTAAACTTTAAATACTGAAGTAAAAATACATTTTATGGCATAACACCATCAATATTGAAGTTAGGAATTCGATTTTACTATCATTAGAATTCTCTCATCAAGACAAATCTAATGATATAAATTTTATTAAAATCGAATTACTAGTTGTATTAAAAACAGGGTATGTAGGATAACAAAATTTGAAAACATCTTTACGCAACTTTTGAAAAATTTTAATATAAACTCTACATAAACTCAAATGTGAGTTGTATCAGTATTGTTTGGGGTCCTGTTCTAGTCCTACAGAGTTGTTAATGAATATATAAAGTAGAAGTGGATATCAGAAAGGGTTTAACTAGATTATTACAATCATCCAGTGATTGAAACTCAGTATTTAACAAAAAGGTTGAAAAGGTAAAGTGATTGTTCACCAATAAAGTAGTATATATTAAAGAGAAAGATAAAGAAATAGGAAGGCCAGTTGCGAATACTTTAGCATTTCTGGTAGGATATGCAACTGCATCAGAAAGAATGACTCAAAAAAAATAATGCTTACTAGTACAGCGTCATTTGATCTTTTACATAGTAGCATATTTAGAAACATTACGAAAGCAATTAGAACAAGGATTAAAAGAGAAGGAATTATTAGAAGTGGAAATCCAGTGTAACATAATAGTAAAGCCTTTCTTTAAATAAAAGATATATACTCAACTAACAGTAAAAGTTTGGCAATGCGATTATAAGCAAGAGCTTATTAAGAGTAATATTTTTCATTAGAAACAGTAATATCTAATAAAAGAGGAGAAGCTAAAGTAAAAGAGAAGTCATTAATATACTGAGAAGAAAAAGAAAATAAAATAGAAAAAGAAAGAATATTATTTTTTAAATAAATAAACCAAGCAGAAACTTGTCCTTTTTTTCTAATGATTTTTAAATAACAAAGATCAGACTATAGGAGAAGGAATGTCTCACATGGAAAGAAAAGTTGGACTTAAATAAAAAGATTGAGATTTTTTCACAAATTTCAATTTATTTAAAATAATCATTGTGAGATGATAGATTAGAGTGGAATAACTGATTACAGATCTTATCTTAAAGAAAAGGATTATATGATGTTCAATCACGAAAAGAAGAGTAAAGAATTAAACAAAGAATGAGTTTGAAGTGAATGGATTTGAAACTAAGATTCCAAGTTAATTGTAGTAAGATAACTTTCAGCACCTAAATATTCTTGAAGATAAGAGATAGTATAATTGGCAAAATCCTTAAAATCAAAGTAAGTAAATATTTTCTGTCAGAAAGCAATGTGTGATAAAAGAAAATAACAAAACACTTACTGAACAGAAAAAGGCAGTTTTAAAAATATCAAAGTCAATGGAATAGTGAATGCAAGGTCAGTTTTATGTTGAGGTTTGCAGTTTGAATTCCAGTTTTAAAAGAAGAATGGTATTATACAAATAGGTCACATGATGTGCAAACAATTTCTTAGGTTTAAGGAGGGCAGCTATATCTTTAATCATAAAGCAGACTTGTTTTAATACAAATTAGAGGGAAGTCAAAAAAGAAAACTAAACATCAAGAAAATGAAAGGAAGTTTCAAAATCCAAAAAAGAAAGAGTAAGAGATCCATTTGGAATTAAAGGAGAAGGGAAAAGGTAGAAAGAAACTGAAGAAGAAGGATAAGAGAAGAAAAGTAAAACATATTTGGCTGAGTTAGCTTGAATATGGGAGGCGGTCAGTAGAAAAGAGGGAAATTTAAAAATTTTAAGATTTTTGGTTATTAAGCTAATTTTGTTCCCATGACCATGATTGGCAAAGTAAACTGATAAAAAAAATTTTGACCAAAATTTGGATTTCCCCCTTTTCTACTGACCACCTCCCATATTATTTAAAGTATAAAATTTAGCAGTTATAGATAAGCGATTTTTGATCTCAAGTTTTGAAGAAGCAATCAGGGTAAAGTCATCCATAAATGTAAGATGAAAGATAGGTAAGGAGTATTATTCAAAGAAAAAAGAAGAATAATCAAGAAGAGTTGAAGATTTCAGTAAGAATAGATCACACACTTCTTGTCTTAATACTATGAGCAAGGGATCTAAGTAAATTACTTAGAGAAAAGGTGAAATAATTTCTCTTTAGTCAATACTAATAGTCTAATACATACTCTATAAAAAGGAGAATCACCATGACAAGTGAGGATTTTGAATTGCACTAAAAGTGCAGGGATATGAAGTTTAATTAAGGCTAATTTAAGCATATTAAGGTCTATGGAATTAAAAGCCTTGGAGATGTCTTGAGAAATGATCCAAAGTTTCTGGTTGTCAAAGAATCATGCTTATGTTAATGGGTAATGATATCAAGCATTTTAATAGGAATATCAGTAGAAGTGTAGAACCACCAGGTAATATTTTATTTATTTTTTTCTTTTTCATGCCAAATATTTTGATTTTTCCTATATTGTTAACATTTCTTATTTTATCTAAGTGTTTGTTATTTTAAAGTTGAAATTTCAGTTTTTTTTTCAAAAATACATTGGCTTATTTATAATAAGGTTGGTTTATTTTTTTGGATAGTTACTATGATAAGTAATAGAAAAACCATTAGTTTTCTTTAGTCTTCTCAATAAGTTGACTTATAATTTAATATAAAAAAAAAAAAAATAAATTTTTCTAATAAATAAATCCATATAATAATGAAAAATTTTGTATATTTTTTTACTATTAATATAAATAATAACGATGAATTTTCAGTATAATGTTATTATAATTGTCTGGATCCTATTAAGCATTTTCTGAATTTTAATGGAATATTATCTATAATAATATTTTTGTTAATTACAAATTTATTTATTTTTTGTCAGCTAAATTTAACAAATAAATAAAATTAAAACCAAATTATTAAAATAAAAAATAAATAATAAAATCAAATAAACTGATGTTCTAAAGAAATTGCATTGTCTTGTTTTGGTTTAATAAAATACAAAAATAAAGTAAATAAAATATATCATACAACCCATGTTAATTTGTTTACATGGAACCTATTAACATTAAATATTACTTCAATTTTAATTAGGCGGTGGTTGATTCATTATATCCACATATCTAAGAATTTAAATAACAATGTTACTATATAATATTTTAGAAATTTACAGAATAAAATAATGTGTTACCTTCTGACACCCCGTCTCATACTTGCACTTGATGCACGGCCACCTTTGTTTGGTGGTGGTGGTGTAGCACTAATTGGCGGGCCTGCAAGATTTTTGTTATCCATAGGAGGTAATGATTGTCTGTTAGGATTTGAACTCATCGCTGAATATGAGGACTGAGGTGATGTTGTTTTTGAACGTTGCGGAGGAGGTGGTGGTGGCATTAATGTATTATTAGGCTCATTACCAGCCTAGATAAACAAACAATACGAAAATTCTTTAGAATTTAAAATATGAATAACATTTGATATAAAGCTTCTTACCTTCTTATTAATCCATCTTTTTTGAACTGGATCATAGTAAAATGAACTTTCTTCTCCTAAATTAGCAGTTTTGCCACCTTCTTTCTTTCCAAACCATCTTCCAAACCATCCTTTCTTTTCTTCTATTTAAAGATCAAGAAAAATTTATAGTATAAATAGGGATAATAACACAATAAATTGACCACATAAATATGTATTATCATACCCTGTTGTTCATCCTGCTTTTCTTCCTTTTTTTGTTCTGTTTGAGAAATATCATGTTTAGTTTCATGGCTATTATTGCTTATGTCAGTCACAGAATCTGTAGTTTGATCATTATTCTTTTTGGATCCAAACGAATTATTTCCTAAACCCAAATCATCATAATCCTCATCCAAAGTATTATTTTGATTTGAAGTGCCTGTCGTTGATGGTGCTGGTGCTGGTGCTGGTGCTGGAACAAATGTAAAATTATTATCCATGAGAGATATGAATTCACCCTCACCAATATCATCAGTTTGGGTTTGGTCTGCTTTTTGATCCTCAATTATATTGGTAGAATCAGAATTTGGGTCATTCCACCATGCAGAATCATTTTTGTAAGACGCTTCCGATGGTTGATAATATGAATAAATAGGTTGTTGATGTTGATTTTGTTTATTTGTTTCAACACCAGAATAATCCGATAATGGAGTATCATTATAGCCTGACTGTTGTTCATTAGAACTAGCACCGTATGCATATCCATTATCCGTAACTGATTGTTGGTTATTATCAAAATGTTTATAACTGGAATACCCGTAAGAACCAGAATATTGTTGGTCCTGCCTTTTAAAATGTCCATAATAACCGTTTTTGTCATCCGTTGGAGACGTTTCAAGAGATTCTCTTTCAGGGACGGAAGAAATCGTATTTTGACCATCAGATGTAGTAGGGCTAAAATTATCATTATAACCACCGTTAACTAGTCCAACACCAGGAGTTGACGATCTTCGCTGATTTCCATTTAAGTGTTTTTGAACCACTGCGCTCGGGGTAGTTGCACGACGAATATCTACAGTAGGATTGGGGATAGGACGAAAGTCTGAAGCAGATACACTACGAGATGGCACTTCAGAAGTGGGATGGGTGATGGAACTAAAATGTGAAAATGGTCCAATAGTTTCGGAGGTACTCGAGGATGAAGATTTCCTAACATTTTCATCTATTACATCTCCAGCAACAAACTTATTGAACTTTCCTTCTAATGAACCCCACAGAGAATCGAGAGTTGCTTTTGGCATTTTTTTGGCAAAGAGCCATGAAGAAGATTCATTGGTGCTAATTAATAATATGGAAAATCAAAAAATTTTGTTTATCTCAAATGCGTATTAAATTATATACGTAGATTTTAATCGCTTACCCTCCTCCTCCTCCATGTTCAAGTAGTCGTTGCGTTAAATCTTTCAATTTTTGTAAGAAGCAACCATGAAAATATGGTGAACCTTTAGTGTAAATCTTTACAATATTTGCAATCGATTCGCAATATCTAAAGAAATTAAGATAGATAATTAGTATATTCTGAAAATCAAAATAAATGGAATTAAGAAACATTAACCTTCTTGCTTCGTTTAAATAACCACAATCAGCCAACCACCATGCATAAAGCAGCTTATATGCTTGCAAATGAGGTAGTCCACCATCGCTATTATTCAGTGAAAGTCCAAATTCATAAATCTCAGTCATACGTAATGATTGCCAATTATAAAAATTATTTATGAGAAGATTTTGTGTATAATCATTGCCCAGTAGTGTAAATCGAACATTGGGTGCATCAAAGCCAGATATAAGTGATGCATTAGGTGATAATATATAACTATAATTTTAATAATAAATAATGGTTAATTTATAATGAAGTCAATTAAGTTTAAATTACATATCAGTATAACGACATACCAGATATGTGAAGCATGAATCCATCCATACTCTTTAAGCATATCTCCGAGAGCAGAAATTGCTTGATTATCTCCTGGTGCTCGATTTGCTAAAATCATTGCTATCGTTTCTCGCCATTTTACTAAACTATCAAGCGGAGTATTATGATCTGATAAAGAGGTGTATGGTGTTGTAACATTAGAAACAACATAAGGTGCATTTGTATTAGGACTATAATGTGATTTAGGAATCATGGCTGTAACTGGCGATTGAGCAACCGTAAGTAAATTATTGTACGGCAGGAATTCTTCAACTGCATTTAATAAGTTGCTTTAAAAAGTTGTAAAAAGAAAATATTTACTTGAAAATTATTATATAATTTGGCGTACCTGCGTTTTGTCCTTGGCCAGCAAACAAAGAATATAGTACTCTTAAACTTTCTCTTCCGTTGGATTCAGAAGTTTCGCCAATATGGGTGCCCATTTCATGTTTAATAAACCCAGTAACAACCTCTTTCCATAATTCTTTATTGACACAGCTGGCAATTATTAGTGCATGTGCCCATAAATTTTCATTCATAGCATGGTGAATGGCTGCAATACGATCACCTTTTAATAGCATCTCTTGCAACTTGTCAACAGACTTTACTGAAACAGAATATGTAAGTGAAGAAGTTTCTGGCGTTTGTGGCAAGCCTTTTTGGGTATCAAAGCCTGTGTCTGCAGGAACTGTAAAGTTTGCTTCATCGTTACTTTTAGACGCGGATGGAACTAAAATTTTACGCACTAGTTCTTCAACTTTTGGACTATTTAATTTCCCACATAATAATTATAAGAATGTTTTAAAAACTTTACCCTTCTTTGAATTCACGTATAAATTAATTTAAACTAACCTTCCGATTAACGCGCCTTCATTCTCAAACATTATTTTAAACAGATTCCAGACAATTAAAATAGATTCCAATTTTTCCTTTTCGACTTCTCCGCCATTGAAAGAACTTATATTATTTTCTGATACTTGAATCTGATCATTTAAGAACTTTAATACATTTTTCTTTTTAGCCTTTACACCGCCTCTATTATTGTCCATAAGCAAAGGACCCGGAAAATCGGCAATGTCTGATACAGGAATGATATCCTTGAGAACACGAATGGTAAAGGCACCAGGTGCAGATTTAGTAATAGGCGTACTATAATCTGTGTTAGTAAAGCGTTGAACTGTTCTTGGGAACATAGTATATATCTTTCCTCCAAATCCAAACGCAACAATAGGCCGACATCCCTTAGATCTTCCTAGAGGATCATTTATATCATCAGAACTATAATATTGTTGGCCTAGATGATACGTATCTAATATAACGCCAGTATCTCTTTCTGTATCATTCGTTGAAGTAAGTTGATTACCGTAAGACGCAAATGATGATACTGAATATGAAGCTTGCGAATGACTATAGGGTAGAGGTTGTTTGGAGTAAGCATTCAAATTATTATAAAGATTGGTCACTTCAGAAATATTCACTGCAGAAGTTATCGAGTTCATAATAACATTAATCGGCTTTCCACAATCTGAACAAAATTTAGCAGTAACTTTATTTCCACCCCCACATTGAGGATCTGGACAGGATATTAAACTTGATCCTTTTGGAGATGGTGATATTGGAGGGGGAGATGTTTGTGGAGAAGGGGTAATAGGTTGATATCCTTGATAATACTGATAATTAGATTGATCTGTTCCAGTCTTTGTATCAACTTGACTTGTTTCATATTCTTGATAATGATAATTAGTTTGGTCTTTGCTCGCCTGATTGGTAATTTGATTTGTATCAAATCCTGTATATTGATAATTTGCTTGGTGTGTTGTATCTTTATTATCTATTGTTGCTTGACTAGTCTCATATATCTGATATTGATAATTGGATTGCTCTTGCTCGGCTGTGGCATCAACAGTCATATCATAACCTTGATATATGGTGGCATCCACCGCGGTAGATTGGTTATGATATATGTCAGAAGAATTTTCTACCGTCGTTTGACTAGAGTCGTATTGGTAATTCGACTGATTGATGTCATCAACACCCGCTCGATTCGAATATTGCTCTATAGATTGCTCCTTTTCAGTGGTGGCGGGTTCGTAATGGTAATTTACAATGTCTCTTGTGGTTTGATCAGAATCATTTTCTTTGTACTTATAATCCACTTGTTCTGAGCTAGTTGTAGTGTCTCCTATTATTTGATTAGCATCATATTCTTGGTACTGATAGTTTACGTCATTCGAAACCCATTGTCCATTATACTGATGATCTTGATCAGAATAATTATATTGATACGACGAAGAATTTAAAGCTGTCAAATCACTATCCTGTGCTGAAATTGAATATCTCTCTTGTGTGTTAGCTACACCTTCCAATTCTATGTACGATAATACTTTTGAAGTACCAGATTTATTTGTCGATCCTAGAACTAAATCATCTAAGTCATCCAATTTAGTTTGTTCATCTTTTGATTTATCATTAATTTCTTCTATTTCATTCGCGTCTGATATTTCTGATGTTATTTTTGATTTGTCTTGTAATGATGAAATAGGTGGTTCAACTTGTGAAGGTTCTGATTTTGGATGGCTTTCTAGTTCATGAGGTTGATATTCGAATATATCATGGTCATCTCCATGAATAATATTTACTTCTTGGTCTTCATTTTCTAAATCATTCGATTTGCCATCTTTTTCGATAAAATCATTTTCAACTTTTGAAGAAGTAACTGTGACACTTTCTTGATTTGTTTCTATTGTTTCAACTAAAGCAACTGCAGCAGCATCCTCATTATTTGATGATGTCAAATTGTTTGATGATGATATAGTTGGGTGCTCTTGCATAATATCAATGGATTTTTTCTTTGTAGAATGCTTCATTTCTCGCGACATTTCCCTATTTTCTTTATCACTCTCTCTTTCTTCTCCCTTCTCTCTTTCTCCCTCACCGCTATCTGGGAAAAATTCTTGATTTTTAAAATTATTCACATCACTAGTTGACGATTCAAGTGGGGCATCGGCAAGTTCTGCATTGAGTTGTAACACATCATTTACATACTGTTTTGATTCATTATACGTACTTTTATCAACACTATTCATTCGCATATTATTTAGGGTATCTACTTCTTCCTTTTCTTCATATTGGTTTGAATGTGGCTGATCTGGAAGCCCTTGAAACGAATTTTGTTGTTGTTCTACATTAATTGAGCTTTGTGCATTATTTTGAGAATATGCCGGATCATGATAATAATAGTATGCGTATGGATCATTAGGATCATAATATTGCTGTTGCTGTGAATAGTTATATTGCGAATAAACTTGGTCATTAGTATACGAAGCATCATAATTATATGCATAGTCACTATATTGATATTGAGCGACAGTTGATTGAGGGTCCATAGAAGAATTCATTCCTTCTGTAACGCCATTAGTGTTAGTGGAGATATATTGTCCACCGTAATAATTATTATAATCATATCCTGTCGTCGAATTATAATATTGAGCACCTGTTGTAGTTGCCACTGGACTGTAGGCATTCTCCTGTATTGTATTTGAATTATGATTATATTCGTAATAAGACGGATAGTCTTTAGTTGTCTGTTGAGTTTGAGAGGGCTGTTCGTTAGCTAGACTATCAAAAAAGGAAGCAGCAGACTGGTCGTCTTGTTGAGTTGATGTTGGAAAGGTGTCCGAAGCAAAGAATGCGTCGAAGGGACTAGAAGAATCGTCAAATAAAGCGGCAGCAGAACCAGCTATTTTTTGGTCTTTATTTAAGGTACTGCCTTCCATTCCTGTTGATAACAACGATGTATTATGTTGTTCATAAATTAATAATTAATAAAGTTATTATACATAAATTTTTTTTTAAAAAATTTGGCGTGGCGATTAATTTCCCGTGAAGAATTGAAGAATTATGTTACACTTTGATTTGACATTGACAGAATGTATATTTAAACCAATATAAAGTCGCCAAGTTTATTTGTCATAATAAACTGGGTTCGAAAACCAGTTAGTCTTATGTGCCGATCTTTGGAATTGGCCTAAATTGAGAATTTTAATAATTTACAGTAACGATTTAGACCAAAATGCCTTTGTACTACACATATATCAATTTTCAAGTCCCCAGAAACACCAGGAGGTTAAGAAAAGATACCTGAATTTTATTAACAAGTATAAAGAAGACATCACCTTCAAAAATAAATTAAAATAATGAAGATTTTTAAAATAATTTAAAAAAAATCCGAAGAGTAAACTTCAGTCAATATTTACGTTTTTTTTCATTTATGTAAACCATTAAATAATATAACAGATAATGTATATAAATATATTTATATTATTTAATATTTAATTGACGTTAATTATTGTAGTATTAGTGAGGGTTAGAACATGATTTTGGAAACAATTAGCGCAATAGAATTATATCACGTTAGATGGATAATTTTTTATTCCATCATATTTATTATTTCTGAATTGGCTTAGTAAGCTACGATGACAAATCCAGAAATCTTAATGCGAAATCAAGATCTAGGAATGAAAAAAATCTATAAATCCTTCTTGTTTTTTCCTTAATAAACTTTATTATTTTATCAAATTTTTATCACACAAATGGTTAAAGAATGCGTACTATTATATAAGAACGGTAGTGGGATTACTACAACTACCACACCAAAAGTAGAGAGTAAAATTCGGTTTGATTCCATTCCGGATGCTCTCGCGGATTTCGGTATGTTTATGGTACTTCCTCGTTATACACGTTGTCCTCAGACTTATGTCCAAATTTATTATTATATTAGCCCAAGGAAAATTTGTTTTAGTTGTAGATAATGAAGAACGAGAAAATGAAGGTGATTTAGTTATTGCAGCAGAAAAAATTACTACAGAGAAAATGGCATTTATGGTTCGATATACGAGGTAACTTTCGCTGGTGAGAATATTTAATTTCTCGAATTTTTTTAACAACAATAAATTTATTAGCGGGTTAATCTGCGTACCGACTACACCAGAACGGTTAGAGCAGCTTGAATTGCCTCTAATGGTTCCAAACAATACTGAAAAAATGAAAACTGCATACACGATATCTGTAGACTATAAGCATAGTAAGGTGTTTTTTTTTTCACTAAAAATTTTTTCGTAAGAATTTACTTTTATAATTGATATTATTTTACAGATACAACAACAGGAATATCAGCACATGATCGTGCATTAACGGCACGTTCACTTGCTAATCCTTCTATAATGAATTCAAATGATTTTAATAGACCAGGTCATATATTTCCATTGAGATATACTCAAGGTGGGGTTCTGAAAAGAACTGGACACACAGAAGCTTCAGTTGGTATGAATTTTCTTTAAATAAAAAATTGATTCTAAGTCTTTTAATTCTCTTAATAATTGATTTTTTTTTGCTTAGATATGTGTAAATTAGCAAATTTGCAACCTGTTGGAGTTATCTGTGAATTGGTAAAGGATGATGGATTGATGGCGCGACGTGATGATTGTCGTGCATTTGCAGATGAACACAATTTAAAATTAATTACAATCGCAGATTTAATTAAATATAGATTAGATAATGAACTTATAGATATTTAAATTTATTTTTTTCCCCACTTTCATAGAGTATTTAAATTTCCTTTATTGTATTAATATTTATTACCACAAAGCTTAATTTAAAAATTGTTTCATGAGTATTATACAAACAATATTAAATAATTTATTTTTCATTAAATTAGATAATTCTATACAGCATTCTTCAATAGAGTCTCTGATCCTGATTCATCTACTTTGGAAGGCTATAATTTAAATTAAAATAATTAAATATAATCTTAATGTTAACAATAAAAGAGCCTTAATTTAATTTATCTTTACCTCTGTCTTATCCAATTCTCCAAGTCCAGTATTTGGTAATTCAGGTGTTTCTTGTAAATATGATGGTTCTTCTTCTTCTTCAAAATTCAATTCATCTCCCAAAGCGTCCAGTTCTAAATTTAAATTGGTATAATAAGTAATTGTAACCTTGCACAGGATGTTTTAAAATTGATTCAGACCTGCTTCCAAATCATCTTCATCAATATCTTCAGGAACTCCATATGTTCTTCCAAGTGATTCTTGTATATCATTAGCCTGTTCCAATAAATCTTCCATGTCATCTTGAATACTCTAGAATTAAGTTATTAAGTTTGAAAATTTTGTTGAAACTTACAAGAATTATAAGAATAAAATAAATATTTGTGTTACCTCAATCTTATTTATGTCTATGTTTTTGTATTGTTTTTGCATTTCTTTATTAGCAATTTGCATCGCATCAACTGTGGAAATTACATTACGTAAATTTTCGGTGGTAAAAGCTGCTTGTTCCATATTGAAAGATTGTTGTTGAAGTTGATCCCGTTGAGTTTCATACCTGAATACGAAAAAGAAAATAACAAAAATAAACTAAATATCAAAATGTTTAAAAGTAATCTGATTAATTATTATACTTACATTTTTCTTTGTTTTAGAACTCGTAACGCTTTATTCTTGATTGCATTCTAAATATCCGAAGTTAAATTGATAAAATTCAAAGTTCAATTCTCGAAAATTTAAAAGAGAATATAAAGAAAAATTGGTTTTTTTGAATTACTTTTCCTGGCCCATCACGCATTTTCTTCATTTGATCCTTATATTTAGCTAATTCCGCGTCAAGTTTCTTTATTTTTACCTCAACGGCATCAACTCGATTATCCGTCTAATATAAAGTAAAAGAACTTTAAAAACTAAAAGGAACACGAGAAGTGCTTAAGTCAATACATACAGCAGCAATAGCGTCATTTAATGAAGGTTTTGGTGTCTTTTTTGAGGTTCCAAAAAGACGGTTCATTTTGTCACTGAAAAAGCTACGGTTTAATATTAGTTTAATGGTTTTGCCTTGATAAGAACGGGAATTAGCTAATCACGTGAATTGTAAAGTTCATATGCCGGTATTTTTATTTTTCAGATACATTTGCGAGTTAAACTATAAAAGTAAACTATGAATAGTCACACTACACAAAATCACTTTACGCAATCGATTCGCCAAGAAAACGAGGAGGAGAAAACTAGGCTTTGAGCCTTACAAATTAATGTTAGCCACAAAGTATCAGATAATGAAGATAATGATATGAAAGTACAATAGGAAATTGAAGAAATTGTTAAATCACTTAGAAAACGATTAAATAGTTGTTGTGTATTAGTATAATTACGGTTGATATTTAATATACAAGCTGATCTTAACCTTTAGAATATTAAATTATAGTAGAAACTGAAATTCGCATCTAGACTTATTTATCACGTCACGATCAATGGTAATATTAAATTGGATCTTAGAGAGAAGAACAAGTGATATTTGTAATTGCTTAAGGTAAGTATCAATAATATTTACTTGCCAAATTTAAGATTTCTAGCACTTAACGCACTAGGAAACATAGCGGATAACATCAAGAAAGTCATGTTAGTATTTATTAAAACATAGACGACTATTTCATAATAACTTATTATAAACAGAAATTTAATAACAAGAATTATTGGGGTGAGATTAGCAGTTTTAAAGGATAACAATATTGGTAATGCTGGAAAGATTAAAAAGGATTATCCACTAACTTAAATGTAAATAGTACATCAAATTACATAATAAAGGCGAATTAACTGTTTTATTTTTTGACAAGAAATTCTGATACTGACAAATATCGTCATCCAAAATATTAAGCTAACAAAGATTAATAATGATTTCAAATAAGAAAAAGATATATAATTTTATTTATAAGACATCAAAATAAAAAAATATAAATTCAGCTTCAATACTTTTTTTTGTTATTCAAAATAATGTTCTATCAGATATTTTAAATAAATCAGAGAAAATGCCAAATGCAGTTACAGCCGCACCAGCTCCAGCACCTTGAATAATCAAGGGACTGGGAAATCTTTCAGTGGTGAAGGAAATAATATTATCACTACCTTTAAGTGCAGCAAATGGATGTGAAGATGATAAACTAAAATTTCAAAGAAATTCATTATAATTAAAAAGGTGACATAGTGATACAAAATTTTTTATTATAACATACCTAACCAATTTAACTTCACTCTTGTCACCAATTGGGTCAATAACACCAATATATCGTAATACTTGTTGATCATTATTAGCAGTGGTGTTTAATTTTTGAAAATATTCATCATATTGAGTTAATGATGCCATAAATTCTGTCGCGCTATCCAAAGTACGTAATGATTCAGGAACTATATTTTCAACTGGTAATGTATCTAAAGACAAATCTTTTCCTGTCAATCTACTTAAAATAACAACCTAACGAGGAAAAAAAAATTACGTTGAATAAGTTAAAAAATGATAATAAAGTAAATTATATTATTTATTACCTTACGAGCAACATCTAATCCGTTCAAATCATCACGTGGGTCAGGTTCCTAAAAACAATCAATAATAATCAATTTCCATTTATCTCCATTATCAATCCCTAATAACCACTTACGGTATATCCATTTTCTCTGGCAATCTTAACAATTTCTGAAAAATTTTTTTTTTCACCATCCAATTTAGAAAATTCATTAAAAATATAACTTAAAGTTCCCGAAAAAATTCCTTCAATTTTAATAATTTTATCCTTAGTTCTTATTAAATCTGTTAAAGTACTTAATACTGGTAATCCTGCTCCTACGGTACTTTCATGATATATAAATCTTCTCTTTTCAGCAGCCTTTTCTCTAATTTCTCTGTAAAGTTTTAGATCACTACTAAATGCTTTTTTATTTGGTGTAACAATGTGTAAACCTTTTTCTATAAAAAGAGGATATGAATCTGCTATTTCTTGTGATGATGTATTATCGATCACTATTGATGGAGTTGGGGCTTCACTAAGATAATTGATAAATGAATTGAGATTCGATGTGGTACCTTTAGCACTTAAGTCATTTTTCCAGGAAGATAAAGTAAGTGATGAATATGACGAATTGCTTAAGAGTTGCTTTGTTGAATTCATTAAAGCTATTACTTTGAAAGTAGGTGTCCCATTTTGAGAAATGTGAGCAGATAATTGAGAAATCAATTCAGATCCTACTAGGCCTACACCAATAATTCCAATATTAACCATCTTTGCACTTTTTTTCAAGAAATGGTCGGATTACAATAGGCAATCAATAAATAATCACATGATTCCAGTGCCACACATTATTAACCAATCAGATTAAGAGAAGAGAAATGCCATTTGATATTTGATTCTGTAGTAAGCTTTTTTTAATTTAGAAAAATGTCAGAACAAGATACACCAGCACCATCGACTTCAGCTTCAACTGCAGTACAAGTGATATACTGTGGAGGTATTTGATTGATTTTTTTTCGACATACTTTAAATGATTACTTATATTTCCTCATTTCCATATTAGTATGTTCGTTACCTCCAGAGGTACGTATTATCTTTAAACTTGGTTTATCTCAAATTTATTCACGCTTGACTTTTAAAAATATTTAACCAAATAGTATTGCGAATACGGGCCAACACTAAGCAAATGTAAAGAATGGTTACAAGAAAAACATTCAGAATTATTCGATAAATTGTATTCTCAAAGTAAAGCTTATTTGTATTGTTATTCTCATGTTTAAGTATGTGAGTCTAAAATTAAACTTAAATTTGATAGCGAATATTGAGAATGATGTAGCTACTTTATCGTTGGAAAATAAACCAACTAATGATGCAGAGGATAAAAAGAAAGCCAAAGGTGCGATATTGTAATTGTACAGTAAATTGAATGTTATTGCATTTTTTTTTGATGAATGACAGTTTTTATAGAGGCTGCAAAAATAGAACGCGAACTGCAAAAAAAGATGGTAAATTAACATATGGATGCTTTAATAATAATAATAAAGTGTTGGGTTTAAGATTATTTTATTGACTATTGTAGGCCTCCAAAGTTACAATTACACGGATTGCACGAAACAAAAAAAAAAGTGTAACAAATGTTGGTGGTTTACAGAATTTTGGTTCGTATCAACCTTTCTTCCCAAAAAATTTTACCAATTTAATTAATATTTCTGATTATATTTAGATATTGATCTGAAGAAAGCTGCAAAAAATTTTGCATCAAAATTTGCATGCGGATCGTCTGTTGTAAAAAATAATCAAGGAATTGACGAAATTGTTGTACAAGGGGATGTTTCGGATGATTTATATGACTATATATTAGAGACTTGGCCAAATGTAAGTTATCATATTAAAGTATCTTTTTTTTTTAGATATTTTTTTTAATGCTTGATTGTAGGTTCCAGAAGATAATATTGAATTAACGGAAGAAAAGAAATCAAAAAAATGAAAAATTCTTTATTTAAAATTAGACTTCTCGGATGGTTTGTTATCGAATTATAATTCATATGAATATTATAATTAGTAATTTCCATTTTTAATAAAAACATATTTCTGGTAATCATAATATAAGAATAGCTCCGCATTTTATGAAGATCAGTAAAGATACATTGACAACTTTGTATATATAATATCAGATATTCCTCTAATAAATTTCATAAGTATTAGCTAAAAAAAGGTCTTATAATAAGAAATTGTAATTTTGGCAATACTGTATTTAAAACGATTCAATTGCAAGGATTAACTCACATTTTACAATTGATATTTAAAAAGAAAATCGTTAATAAACTCCTCTCTAATTAAAATATTGTTTATAACAAAATAATGAATCAGCAATTCAATATTACCCTTTTAGTAATCTGAATTCAGAATTCCATAGACATTTGCATGGCAGCTATCATGTAAAAAAATGTTATTAAATCTATACCAATTTATTTTCTCTCTCTTAGCGAAATTATAAATACCTTTATTCTTTGCCAAAGTTTCTTTCAGTATACTCTGGACGAATTTATCAAAATACTTGATATATGGACTAAGAGAAGTCTTTTCATAATCTATAAAAATCATGTTATTTTTTGACTTATTAATGACAACAATTACATTGCTGCTTAATTACCATGTAAGCTTCTTTCTCCGTCATTTTTTACGTGACTCCTATCATAATCATTAATTTCATTATATAGTGAGGAGATCGTAGGAACTACCATAGGGTTAAAGTTTTCACATTCTTCTGGTATTATCGGTACACACACTCGCCCTATTATAAGGAAGGAGGGAGGTATGTTTTTATAATAGCCTTAGGACTGAGGCACAACATAATTTTGCTATATTGTGCTTAATACTATAAATTTACCGGTGCTTGGATGAACACAAAACGGGCTTTTCAACAAATGAATCATTTTTGTAGAAACTGCTTCGTCAAGTCTCGGATATAAGTATTGAAGCATAATTTCAATTTTACAAACTCTAAGTGAATCAGCTTTCTTTTGATTCTATAAATATTAAATATCTGGTTGGTTTAAAGTTTCGATTACTGTTATCAAATAAAACTTACCTTTGTCATTTTTGTAGAACTTTCTAGTTCTGCAAGCAAATTATCCCATTTTTCAGTCGAATGCCTAGAAGAATTTTTTCTCCAGTCATCATCCAACCTACGTCTTACGCCTAATATTAAAGAACATTAGATATGAAATGATTATAATTCTTACATAGAGATAGCCAAATTTACCATCATCTGGAATACATTCGAGAACTTTTGTCCATTCCCGTTCATCTTTCAATACTTCTTGATCCTCCAAAATAACTCGTTCAAAGTATTCCTCAATTATTTTATGAGCGCGACTAACAAATGATAATGATAAATCAATATACTAAACTAATGTAAAGTACACATTAATCATAATAATTGACTTTTACGATAAGTACGTTAATGAAGGATGTAACGAATTCTTATACAAATGCACTTTTTTGTTTTGTTGTGCACCTCCCTGTAAAATGAATTCAAGAATGAAAATAGACAATCAGATTTTAACAAACAAATCAGATTTTAAATAAATAAAAGCAGTATTTGAAATGACATAGTTTCATACCTTAATAACTCCTAAATATGAAGCTATTGACTTTCTTTCGTCATCGCTTAATTTACGTGCCCGTTCATCACAAACCCAACAATGTACTCCACGACGGCCAGAATATACCCAGAGCAAGTATTTAAAACCAAAATCCTCTATTAGTATTGAAGTGGGAAAGCTATAAGTCAGAAATACAGCCTTACACGGTTATATGGAAGAATATAATATACCTCTTAAAGCTGAGTCTAATATTTTAATAGCAACCGCTATTAATTGCCAGCATTTTTCACAAATAGTGGCGCCACTAAATTTAATTTGAGCATTGAATATGAAAGACTTTTAGCTACTTTTGTTGATCAATGAATTCGTAAAAAATACCTGCAACAGGTTCGGAATTCATCATAATCATTCATATCTATATCAAAAATCAATTCTTTTTCAACAGGCTTTAAGGCTGAAAGTTTCAATGATTTTTTTTCTTTGGGCTAGTTATTAAAATATGACGAATAAATATTTGGATAATATGTTAATATCAGTTAAAGATAAATTACTTTAGCTGTGAAGACCGCGCCAATATCAATTTTTTTTGGACAAACTCTTAAAACTTCATTTTTGAATTCTTCGATAGTATCGAATGAAAGGTATCGCATATAAACTTCATCATCACCAGGTTTAACAAAATTAAATTCGCGATTTTGGAATGGTTTGTCCATCGGATCTGTTGATAATAAATAGCATGAAGCAATTACATTTATAGAGTTATTAAATAATTCAGTTATAAACACTACCTATACTATAATTTAACCAATAACAATAAGTTTTATATGGGAAAAATCGCTTATAAAAAACGCGTAAAAGCTCCAACGAGCCTTCTTCAATTTCAAATCTAATCGGATAATAGTTAGGTTAGGTTTAGTACTTATTAACTTTAATGAGAATGACTAGAATTTTATTGATGGGTAACTTGTCTGGTTTAGCATTAGTGCTGCCTTTCCAAAAGTTACGTTCTTTATCGTCCTCTTTGTTACTCGAAGATTCAATAATCATGTCAACGTCATTATCTTCGTGAACTTCTGGATCATCAATATCCATATAACTTTCTCCTAAGAAATTTGCCATAATATTGTGAAATTTTGCACAAATAAGCAAAATTTTTAAGTAAAAAAGACTACCATACTTTTAATTTTTTACTAGCAGTTTTAATTAGGATTAATGAAACGTGCTATGTTTCTTTATTTGGTTATGGTATGTTCACGTGACTATTACTAACGCGCGTCACGTTTTATACCAGCTATATATAATAAGGCTTCGGAGTAAGTAGTGGAGTAAGTTTCGAATGTAATACCAGATCATCACAACTCAAGTCGCGTTTTAATTCAGACACGTTTTCCATTTTAAATATAACATACATATACCACAAAAGGTAAGCAAAATAAATATATATATAAATAGAATCGCTGTATAACCATCAGTCGACTTGAATAATGCCAATAATCACTCCAAGAAATTTGAGAAAAAGAAAATTTGAACAACTTCGTCCATATACTGCCGAGAGGATACATGCTAAAAGTCAAGGTATACCAGTTGAAGTAGATAAAGAAGTCCTTCGTAAAGAGAACAATACATTAGAAACTTACGGTGGCTACGTCGAAGACGAAACAGATTTGTTATTTGTCGAGGATGACATAGAGGAGCCACAGGAATTTCGGCGACGGAATGACGTAGAGGAGCCACAGGAATTTCGGCGACGGCGTTCTGAACAAGAATCATATCGAAATGTCGAAATTACTCCAGCATTACCAAATAAACCAAATTTATTAAGAAATGTTATTTATCAAAATATCGATCCATTCATAACAACATTGAGGAAACAAAACGCTCCGCAACATCAGTATGTTCCTTATTCTGATGATGTTTATCAAGAAGGGAGTGAAAGTGACAACGATGATAATATAACAGTAATAAGCATTGAAGGTGACTTAAGCAACGAGACAGAATTTAGTAGTAATCATCATGTTTCTGATTCAAGCGAAGAAAGTATTACAAGCGATGAATGCGAAGTATATGGTGATACTTTTTCCATTTTAAGCGATGAAAGTATTGAAAGTAATAGTCGGGATGAATACGATCTAATTAGTAGCGATTGTGAAACAACTGTAAACAACATATCAAGCAATGTTATTTCTCAGCGTGCATCGATATCATCGAGGTCATTACAATCATCACAATTGAGACCGCCCAGACAAAATTTAATATCAAAAAAACTAAAAAGTTTGTTACAATGGGCAGATACTACCCCGGTGATTTCTCCGAATGATAAAAACTTCCCAATTGAAAAATATTTAGAACTTTTTGAAGAATTACATAAAAATATTTACGTAGGAAATCCTTGGCCAGAACAAGCAAGATCTTTAATAAGAGATTTGATGATGTATTGGGCGGGTTGGCGACCTAATAATAATGGAATAAATAATTGTTACAAAATTTTAGTGAAATTAATTGAAGTTGTACCCGTTAATGCGCACGATGTTCCTGATATCACCACGCTGACTCAAAGATATCTAGATTTGACATTACAACTACTTGGACGTATAATAGACGATACACCGATAGAACATATAAAGGAATTTATTTCAAAGTTCAATAAGCATACTAGAGTTTTAATAAATAATTTGCGTTGTAAAGGAGTTCAAGATAAAGCCAATGAGAATATAACGGTGGCAATTTGTTCAGTAATCGCTTTAGTCAACAAGAAGCCAATGAGCGAGTATATTTTTAACAGGTTCGCTTATATTTCGAAAAGAAATCAAGAATGGATAATAAAATCTTTGATGTTATTAAATCAAACATTAAAGATGTTAACGAGTTATGGAACTAGTTCAAAAGTAAACAAATAATTTATTTTCGTTATATTAATTTAACAAACCATTACCAAAAATTAACATTTTATATTTTGTATAATAGCAAACTCTGTTGGATTTATTCGAATTGCTCAAACGAAAATTTCGTGATGAAAAAATGGGTTAGTAATATTATTATTTTACTTTTTATTTGAATTTATTTAACTAAAAAAAAAAAGTTTTTTATTCATAAAGATCCTGAAGTTAAAATAAAAGCAAAGGAATGTTTAGAGACTGTAAAGGCAATTTGATTAAATTAAATTTTATAATATCTCGTAAGAGATGACTATAAATAAATATTGGTTAAATAATTATAATAAAAATTAATACAAATCTTGATTGTTATTTTATTTATATTAATAATATCCACCAAGAGCAATAATAATTTTTTGCGTTGTAACATTATTTATCATATGATTAGTTAGTCATTGATTTTAATATTAAATCAGTTAATATAAAATTATAACGAGAATATGCAAAGTATGTGACTTATGTTCTAGGCTTCGATATACGTAATACTGTTAGCGAATCAGTTTTTTTTAACATCATAAAATTGTTTTTTTTATAATGGTATGTTTATAATATCAAATGTTGAACTTATAGTTTAAATTATTTGCAGCCTCTTTAACGTTTGATTTTTAATATTTCATAGAACGGGCACACTCTTCTCTTATTCCAAAAGGATAATAATCCCGATTCGCGTACTTGGACTGAACACGAGAATATAACTTTGGCGGTTGAAGGTTGGTAAACTAGTTTAAATAAATACATATGTTGGTGCAGAGAAGAACAATATTGTATAAATAAAAAATTTTATTTGTCAAATTAATTTATGGCTTATTTTTTATTGTAAAATTTAAACTTAAAATTACAGCTATAATTGCAATGTATGAAACGCGGCTCGCAGAGTCACATCCAACTCGTGGTCATATTCATTATCAAGTTGGTGATCTAATAGGATTTATTGGTCAATGTAGAGAATTCGCAGCACTTGTGTATGATCAGATGATAAATGCTTATGTACCAAAAGACAAAGCTTGGTTACAAGAAAAAATCGTTACTCACTTGAGAAAGAAGCTCGAAAATCAAAATCACATTAATGGTGGAACTGTAAATGGTCATCAAAGTGGAAAAAGAAATAATAGAGGATTCTAGTAAATAAAAAGCTGAAAGGAAATTTGCTGCAACATAACCAGACAAATGAATATTAAAATTACAAAAAAAAATTAGGGTTGGTTATGCTTGTAAATTATTTTAATTACTAAAGCATAAATTTGGTTTTTTTTAGCATTAAAAACTTCTTTTAAAAATCAAATAAAATGTAAAAATCATTTATAAAAATTCTGGATTTAATAATAAATACAACATATATTATATATTACAAATATATTAGAAAAATTAATTTTAAATTTCAAATACAGTCAACTCTTTTTAATACATCCTCCTTGGAATTATAATGAAAATTTTTAAAAAATATGCATTTAAAAAAGGTGGATCCAATTACTTATAATAAAGGTTACCATAGAAAATTAGCTCTTTGTTAATGATTTTTACCTTACTTCTTTCTTAAATTCTATTGGTTAAATTCTATTGGTTAATTAGCTAAAAAGAAAAAAAAGTCATAATAATCTTCTATATATTAAAAAACACTGCAATCACGTGGGCGTTATGTTTAGATTAACCATATAAATAAGTCATTTGAATTGTGTAACCCTACTCCTATTCGTCGCAAATGTTACACAAGACCAAAAAAAGGGAATTTTATTTCTGGCGAAAAACTGAAATTTTGGGTTACATAGGATTCCATAAAAGGAAATTGTCGGTTACGCAAATTTCCAAAAAAGGAAATTTTGTCTTCTGTTACTTTTCAGAGAAATTAAAAAAATTGTGTTGCTCAAATTTCCAAAAAAGGAAATTCTTTGCAGATCTTTTAATTCTGGCCGGAATTACATATTAACTGTTGTCGTAGACAACAGGTGAACACTAGTATAACATAAAATTTTCTTTTATAGTAGAATCTGCAAAGAATTTTATATACAATTTTTACTTTAAACTTAAAATTGATCTATTTTATAAACAAGCAGAATTCTATATACATTTAAAAAGAGAAATCTTTAAAACTAAATAGAAGGATGCATTTAAAGAAAATATATAATGTATATATTTAAAGAGAATATATTTAGAGAAAGTTAACTGTAAAATTATTTTTACTATTACTAAAATAATAATTTCAATTCTTAATAAAAATCAATTGTTTTAATAATATTATTTTATTTTTTAAATAAATATATATCAGATATACACTACCCTTCCAAAAGTATCTGGTTAAGTTTTATTTGATTTTCTTAAAGTTGAATATTATAAGTTATCATTTTTTTTTAAAAAAACAATTTCTCTGATTTTGATAATTAAAATAAATGTATTTTTATTGTATTTATATAATGTATATACTAGGATTTTGCAATTAAAATTATTTAATCATTCAATTAAAACTTTACAAACAATGCTATACATTTTAGGATGACAATATTCCAGTTCATACTTTAAGGGATATTAAAAATTGGATTGCATAGAAAAAATTAAAGTTTTTTCAGATTGATCTTTCTAATTTCCAGATCTTAATCCTATTGAATATTTGTAATATAAATTTAAATAAAGACTTCAAAAATAATCTATATATCTATAAAATTCTTATAAATTTGAAGAAGCATTACAAGAAAAGTAAAAAAGAATTCCATCTGAAACTTACATTAATTTAATTAAAAGCATATTATGATAAATTGAAGTAAACATTAAAAATAATGAATGGTCAACTAAATATCATTAGTTTAATATAAACTTATTTTCTCCTTCCTCTTGTTAAATTATATAATTTTATTAAGTACTAGTGTTCACCTGTTGTCTACGACAACAGTTAATATGTAATTCCGGCCAGAATTAAAAGATCTGCAAAGAATTTCCTTTTTTGGAAATTTGAGCAACACAATTTTTTTAATTTCTCTGAAAAGTAACAGAAGACAAAATTTCCTTTTTTTGGAGATTTGTGTAACTGACAATTTCCTTTTATGGAATTCTGCGTAACTCAAAATTTCAGTTTTTCGCCAGAAATAAAATTTCCTTTTTTGGTATTGTGTAATATTTGCGACGAATAGGAGTAGGGTTACACAATTCAAATGACTTATTTATATGGTTAATTTAAACATAACGCCCACGTGATTGCAGTGTTTTTTAATATATAGAAGATAACATAAGATTTTAGTTACCTCATTCTTTTTTTTAATAATTATATAATATCTGTAAACTTCCTAATATAATACTTAATTATAACTAGGTAACGGGATTCATTGTAATATCTAAAGCACTCATTTAAAATCACATGTTAGACACGTCACTAAAAATCTGATCACATGATAATAATCAATAATACATCTTATTGGTTAATCACACGTATGGACAGATATATCTTGCATTAGCATTACAATGTATCTAACCATTAATGTCCTTTACTACACTTCAGACAATAATTTTAAAGACTTTATAACCATTTATAATCATTAAAGTCAGATGTAATTGGTTATTAAAAAATAATGAAGCTGTTATTATTAAATCTGGTAAAGATCGAGAGCAGTTTAAAATCTCTCTTTTTCTTTTATTTGTAAAGAAATCAGACTAGATATTACCTTGCTAAGATATTTCCTAATAGTATTATCTAATTACTATTATTTCAAATTTATTTGTATAGTATATTCTTTTTCAACTTGATCCTTATTATCATATATTTCTTCTATCATATAATTTTAATGGAAATAATCTTGTTTCACTTTTAGATAGTAAATAAATTAAGATTTTTTTAAGTTAAAGAAATATCATAAATATGATATTATTGGTATCTGCAAATATAGATCCTATTAATTAATATCCAGTAAATATATAATTAATTGGATATAGTGATAATCATCACCATACTACTTAATTCTGGCCAAAAATTATAATTTTAGCCAGAGTTAAAAAACACATCATAAATTTTTTTTCAAAAATTTTAATTTAAATAATAAATGTGTAAAACAAACCTGAGTAGATACTAATTACACTAAAATTTTGAAAATTTGACTAAAAAAAATCTTTTTCAAAACAAAAAATTGTATTTTGCTTATAAAATCAAACATTCCTATTTTTCTCAAAAACTATCTAAACAACAGCCTTTATAATCTAAGGCAAACTTGTTCTACCCATAAATTTACATATAGTAATAATATTTATATTATAATTAGAATAATATTTCAGTCAAAAATTTTTGAAAATTCAAAAAATATTTTACATATGGTGATGATCACCACTGGTGATATTTAGCAATACCTTAATTAATTTTATATTTAAATACTTTAATATTTTTAATCTTTATAATAGGAGCTAATTTTGGGTTTAATACTGATCTACTATCTTTTAAATCATCAAAATGGGTTTGCAAGAAAAGTTCCTTTTATTTTAATATAATTTTATTAATAAAATAATTAGCAGTTTTTATTTTCTTTAAGTTTTTTTTTCTTTTTTATACTTTTGCCTTAAAGGAATATTAGGTAATATGAATAATTCCTTTGTGCTATTTGTGATTGATATAATAGATCATTAGAAATTACTTTTTTTTTTTAATGATCTATATATACTTTATTGATATTAAGTTCATATACCATATAAACAGCATAGGTAAAGATCCGTGTTATTGGCTGATTTATCAGTCATGTGATTTAATTTATGTGATTGACAAATATATGTAATGCGTTACTTTAAAAAAAGGAGTAAAAGACTCATATAAAAGTGGTGATACACTACATAACAATATACATCCAAAATTTACATGAGAGTTTAACAGCTCTTTCTCAACCAAGATCCGGTTTTAGCTTAAACAGATCCGACTTTAGGTTAGACTTCTCTTAATAGCAAATGACAAGAGGTTTTTGCAAGCGAAATAACGGACCCTGTGCTGTTTGTGGACTGCAAAATTCCAATGAAAAGTTTCGAAAATTAACTTTAGAAGCACTTACAAAAGTGCAAAACAGTCCTACAGTGTCTTTATTGACAGTTCAATTGCAAGTGGATGATCAACTTTGTATAAAACACTACAATGAACTTATTTCCTATAAACGAAACATATCAAAATACAGTAAAAAAAGTGCTGATAAAGATTTATCATACAAAGGAGCAAAAAGAATTTGTTTAAGAGAAGAAGTGTATCATGATTTGCTAGATAATACACACAATCTAGAAGTTTTAGAGCAACGTGTTAAAGACTTAGAATTAGAATTGGGAGAATATATAACTAAATTAAAGGAGTCTTCAACTAATGGTAATGTTAAATACGAGAATTGGTATATAACATTATTATTAATAACATTAAATATAAATAGAGCCCGTAAGATTTTCACAGTTCTTTGGTGATCAAGTAGCTCGTATGACCAATATACTTTATCAACACCAAAAGGGAGGCAATTTACCTATTTTTGATCCAATAAAGTTTGTGGCGTTAATTGAAAGTCGGGATATCAATTTGCGTGGATTTTTTGATATTTTGTTTCAATCTATGAATCCAACACAAAAAAACCATGCAACAAAACAAATGCTTAAACAAAAAGTGATGATGTTATGCTATCAAATGGCAGCGTTACGTAATAAGCAAGTTAGTGGGACGAAAAAGGAGATAGGACTTCTTATGGTAGGATCTGGAACATCAAAAAATGGCATCAACACTTTAGCCAATATGGGAATGAGTTCAACGTATCAAACTGTTTATAATATGTTAAAAAAAAATGCAGATGATCATAAATCTAGTGTTCGCACATATATTAACAGTCATGTAAGTTTATTCTCGAATTAAAATTATTTTTTTTAAAAAAAAAATTGCGATTTTAACATAATTTTATTATATATATAGTCTAACAGTCTTCTTATCGGTTGCATTGATGATTACCATAACCTTCATGGTACACGAATCCCATCTGTAACGTCAATTTCCCAAATTTCACATATGGCGACCATATTATTCAATAATGTTAAAATAACTCCTATTCCCTATATTTCTTCAAGTAATACTTCTATACATAATCCTAATGGGGTTGATGCTTCTATTTTGAAGATAACACTTTGGGAAAATTATATGATTTCATTTGCCATGAGCTACAATTCATTGAAAACCCATTGGGCTCAATTTCAAGACATTACTACTGCGAATGAGTCAAGTCTTTTGGAATCATTAATAGTACATTCATAT